CGAAGCATTCCTCAGGAATGTCTTCTAAAGAACATGTTATTATTACATGGTATCAGTCTTTATTAATTTTGGAATTTAGTAGGCCATCTTTAATTTCCATTGAAGTGAAACAAGATTCTTAGTGGCCTAGGGGTGGACTCTCAGACTGTCACTGCCAAGGCCAATTTGATCCCCAGCCAGGGAGCTCCCCACAGGGCGCAGCAAAACTCTCCTGTCTCCCCGCAGCTCCCCTCTGCAGTGAATTTCAGTGGATCCACCTGTTCTGCTCCCCACTCTGGCTCTGGGGGGTCCTCTCACCATCCCCCCACCTCTGGCCTACACCCCAGTTCTACACAAATAGAATCTTAAAAGTAAAAGTTAAATAAAACCTCCAAGCATCATCATACTACTTTCAGATTATGTCAAAATAGCTTAATTTTCACTCTTTTTGACTGGATAGCTCATACTGTCAGAATGCTTAAATAAAGTGTCACTGATATACTAGGACGAGGGAAAACCTGGAACCTGCTGTTCTTTTCAGCTTCCCACAAGGAGACTGGGTCGGAGTGATCTGGTTTGTTGAGATCCCTGTGGTGCTGAGTCCCACTTGCCCTTTGGTGTTTGTTCATATTTTATTGGTAGGACTGATTTTCAGATGCTCTTGTCCCCGTGCACCGTCGTGGTGGCGGCCCCATGTGTGGGTCAGGTCGGCGCTTGTGGCCACGACCCAGGCCCTGGGCGGCTGTTGGCGCTGCCGGGGCCAGGGTGGGGGGCGGGAGGCTGTGTTCTGTCGGGGTTCCCCGCTGTCGGGGCGCAGCGACTTCAGTAAGCAGACTCGGGCCTGGGCCACATTGGGTCTCAGATTGGCGCTCATGACGGAGAGGGCGTTTGTGGAGGAAAGTGTGGCCCCTGCCCAGTCAGGCCGGCCTGACCCGACACCTCCTGATTGGAGCCACGCCGTGCCATGGGGTGGGGCAGGGGCTTTGCCCTGGAGAGCCATGGTTCCTGCAGCCTCGGGGTGCAGTGTCTGGGACGTGGGGTTGCAGTTGGCGGCAGTCCCCAGGTGTCTCCCGCCGGTGTCCTGCCCCCATTGCCTCATTCATTAGAAATGGTGAGTGGGCACCAAACGCGCCACTTCATCCCACTGTTGTTTTGAAAGCAACAGCGACGGGGACTTCAGATGCAACTCACGTTTTTCTCCCCTTTGCCAAATCATTTCGATGAGTTTTAGAACAACCAGGGACTTGCAGAGAAGTGCCAAGCCTGCCACACCGCCCCTCTTGCCGCCGGGGAGCTGGCCGGCCCCGCGTCCTCGCACCCGCTCCCCTGTCTGGAGGGCAGGCGGCCCCTCGCCCCGCTGCAAAACGGAGACGCTTTCCCCCTGCCCTGGCAGCTGCCAATGTTGCATCCAAAGGCACAGAAAACACCCTCTTCTTCGCGGAGCTGCTGTGTGTGCTCTCGGCGCACGGCAGTTACCCTAAGGGCTGAGCAACATTCCAAAATGGCCGACCCGTCACTCGCCCGTGGCGCACAACTGGGCTGTTTCCACGAGGCTGTTGCCAACAGGCAGGTGTCATCCTTATTGCGCTTGTGTTTTGGTTAGTGCTAGAAGTAGAAAGTGGGGGCTAGTAAGTATGTTTCGGTTTATAAGAAACTGCCTGTTTTCCAAAGTGGCCCCCAAGGCTCCAGTCTTATTAACGAGGCGTCCACTGATCAGTTCCTGGGGCGCCACAGTCAGCCGGGTGTCCCGGTCATACCTCCGGATGTGCAACTGCTACCCCAGGGTGTCAAGTGTCCTGCTCTTGTCTAACTTGAATGGAGCCTCTAAGCTACACCCACATTCATCACCAAAGCCTCTTTTCAGATGAACAAGATAAGAAGTCTAAAATCAATATACAGTCTGAAAAGCAAGAATTTAGGATATTTTGAGTAAAGCCAGGCCCCTCACCATGCAGACTTCTGGAGCTACATCTCTGTCTAGGGATGAATTTTTTTTTTGTTTGTTTATACATGCACTGGGTACAGTCAGAAGCGCGGGAGGGTGAGAGAATTCACCAGAGCCAGAGCGGGGAGCAGAGCAGGCAGAAGGACCGAAGTACACTGCTGAGGGGAGCAGCGGGCGGCAGGAGAGGTCTGCGCGCCATGCGGGACCCTCCTCAGGTGGCCGGGGAGCAGCCGGGGATCGAACCGGCGCTGCAGAGGCTGCGGGCAGCTTCGCAACCCAGTGCTCAACCACTGTGCCACCAGGGAGGCCCTGGGATGAATTTTTAATGTGAATCCAAACCACCGTGTGTGTGAGTGCAAACTTCTAATGAATAGCTCCCAGAGGTGGTCCCACAATCTGCTTCTCTAACCAGTTCCCAGGTGCTGCTGCTGGTCTGCAGGGTCACACTTGAATGTTCCCAGGAGTGTAAGTGGGTCCTTCCTATCAAGACAGCAAAACTGCTTTCAAAAGTTACATCTGAAATGTACTAAGATCAACATGTGAAAGACTTCTGTGAAAGTATGAAGCAGCCTGTTTTTCACAGCAGAAAGTAAGGAAGATTTTACAAGTAACAGAGAATCGAAGCACTGTGCTTTCTAGAGTCTGGCCTTCCTGCCCTCCCCACTCAAGGCAGGAAAGACTGAACCAATAATGAAACACCACCTTTTTTGTGGAGCCTTATTACAGACCCATGGACATTATTAGAAAATATTATACAAAATAGAAAATGGTTAAATTGGTTCTCAACTGAAGAATCTAGGACAGACTATTCAAATTCATCAATTACCAGACAGTATTGCTTTGTCAGTATGTAGTATTGGTACTATTAAGTCACACACTGGATACACCTGGAAATAAGGCCTGTTCCTGTAATTACTAAACTGCTTAAATTAGTCATGTAAAATCCCATTTAAAGACAACTGGTGGTGCAAAGTGTTGAGTCTCAGCACTGTGAAGCTGTAAGCAGTTGCAGCATGATTTCGATCTGGCCAGGGAGGGTCCCACATGGCCCGCAGACCTCTCCTGTCTCCCCGCTGCTCCCCTGGGCAGTGTGTTTCAGTCAGTCTGCCTGTTCTGCTCCCCACTCTGGGGAGTCCTCTCACCCCACCCCACCCCCACCTCTGGCCTGCACCCCAGCTCTTGTATGCATAAAGAAATCTTAAAAAAAAAAAAGACAACCCATGACAAACTGATAAATCTAGACAAAGAAATAGGATCAGGCCTGCTGTGGCCAGACTATGTTGACAGCGTTTCCCAGGACAGGGTCGGTGCCCGGCGTGTTCTCCAAGCCACATCACTGCGGGCTTCCCGCGGGAGCCCCCACAACGCGTGGGCGCCCGTCGCCGCAAGGCCCGCGCCGCTGCGGACTTGGCCTCGGCACCCGCAGCGCCCCGCGTCGTGAAGGACACGCGCGCCCCGTCCAGGGGAAGCGGCCCGCGGGGCCGGGTCATCGCTAAGGACGGACCCCAAGCGCCCAGTCCCCCCAAGCCCGCAGGACTCGCGGGAGGGGCTCCCCAGGCCCCCCTCCGGGAGAGGAGGCGGCAGCCCCGGGGGCGGCGACCGGGCCTCGGGCCGAAAACACGCGCGCTGCGGGAGGGGGCAGCGCGCGGGCATCCCTCGCCACACCGCCCCGGCGCCATGCCCGGTCCCTCCCGGGGGCCTTGTCGGCCCCTGGCCCGCCATGTCACCTGAGAGCTGATGCGCATCCTGAGGGCCATCACGGCCCTGACGGGCGCGCGGGCTTCTGGGTAATGTAGTTCCCCTCTGGCAGGGGCTGCCTCGTCCTTCTGCGCAGGTGCGGCCCCGCCCACGCCCCGTCTGTACCGGAAATCCGGGCTGCAGCTACCTCAGCCGCCGGGGCCGCCGCCGGGCGGGCTCGTCTGGGAGGTGGGTGCTGGTTGGCGGCGGGGGCGGAGCTGCGCGGGCCGGGCCTTGCAGGTCGGAGGCGTCTCCTCAGCGTCTCCTCGGGCCGCGGTCCGGGGCGCGCGGGACTGTCCGCGGTCGGGACGAGGCCCGGCGGGAGGAGGCGCCGTCAGGAGCCGGAGGGCAGCGCTGCCCCGGGGGCCGCCGACCGATGTGGGTGCCCGTCGGGGCGGGGGCGCCTGTCACCGCGGAGAGGCCTGTGCAGCCTCGTGGTGCTGGTCGCGGGGCGGCCTGTTCCCGCCGCGGGGACGCCTGGAGGGCGCCCGGCCCCCTGTCCTCTCCCCCACCCTCTCCCCCGCCGCCCCCGCCGGGCCCCGCCGCGCCCCCTCAGCACAGAGCTGGCTCCGCCGCGCCCCCTCAGCCCCCGCCAGGCCCTGCCACATGCCCTCAGCCCCCGCCGGGCCCCCTCAGCCCCCCACCGTCGCCGCCGCCTGGCGGGGCTTGAGGCCCGTGGCTCCGCGGGTACACTGGGTCCGCCGTGGCGTCCAGAGCCGCCTGCCCGAGCCCCGCGTGGCCGCGGGCGGCGCCTGCTCAGAGTCTGGAGCGCGCCTTTCCCGCGCCGCATGGCCGGGGGGCCGGGCTGCTGCCGCTGGGGGCGCGGGCGCGGCCTGGCCCTGGGAACTGAGCCGTGAGTGCTGTTGGCCCGCGGGCCTGGCCCTCTCCTGCTGCTCATGGTCCGAATGAGCCTGCGGCAGCGGCGGGGCACGGCCAGAAGAAGCCGCGGGTTCGCAGCGGCGTGGCCTGGCGTGTTGCCCCGGCCCGGCGCCCCCACAGGCTCGGCGCGTGCGTCCTCTGCGGGGCTTTCCTCCTCGGCCTCGGGGCCGCGCGGATCTCCTGTGGGCGGGTGGGGCGGGGGCTCGGCCACAGGCTCATGTCTGCGCGGCCCCCGCGGGCCTTGATGGCCTCCCGAGCCAGGCGGAGCGCGCCTGTCCCTGCTGGAAGGCAGAGTCCGCGCCTGCCTCGCAGCCGGGGCTCCCCGCGGCCTTCCACCAGCTCGGGGGCGGGCGGGCTGGCGGCCAGCTCGGAGCCAAGGCCGCGTGTTTTAAGCCTGGCCTCCCCCGGCTTCCCCTCTTCACCCGCTGCGCGCTGGAGCCCCCACAGTCCCCCTCCAGCAGCTGCGTGTCCCGTCAGGGGAGCCCACGTGTCCAGGATTTTCGTAAAGAGGAGCCACCTGCCCCTGATGGAGCTGCTGGGCCTCAGCGCTCCCTGGGCCGCGCCAACTCCAGAGCAACAGACTAAGCTGCGCTCTCAGATCCCTGCTCTGGCTGCTGGCCCCTGGCGAGCCTGCGCCCGGGCTCACCTTACTGTACAGCTGAGGAGTATTCCACGGTGTAGACGGCGGCTCCTTCACCCACTCTTCCGCCTTTGAGCACGTAGGTTGTTTCCATAACTTGGCTGTTGTAATAGTGCTACAATAAGCAGAAGAGCATATATATCTCTTCAGATGAGTGCTTTTGCATTATTTGGATACATGCCAAGAAGTGGAATCATTAGATCATATGACATATCTATTTTGATATTTTGAGAAACCTCTACACTATTTTCCATAGGGGCTGAACCAGTCTGCATTCCCGTCAACAGTGATGAGGATTTCTGTACATCCTCACCAACAATTGTTGTTTCAGTTTGTGTATGTGTGTATGTTTTAATATGGCAATTTTAAATGAGTTAGGAGGTATCTCATAGTAGTTTTCATTTGTAATTCCCTGAGAGTAAATTATATTGAATCGTGCTTGTAGACTGATTGTGTGTTGTCTGTGGAGAAGTATCTGTTTAGCTCCACTTTCCATCTTTTGATTGGATTCTTTGTTCTCATTTTGTGTTGTGTGAGTTCTTTGTACATCTTGCCTGTAGCCCTCATCAGATATATGATGTGCAAATACTTACTCCCATTCAGTGTGGTATATATTTGCTTTACTGATAGTGCCTTTTGCTGTACAGAGTCTTTTAGTTTGATGCAGTGAAAATAAAACTGTTTATTTTTGCTTTTCTTTTCCTTGCAATTGGAGTTGAATCCCCCAAAGACTTCCCTGAAGCCACTATTGTGGAATGTTTTGCCTACGTTTTCTTTTTATGTATTTAGTGGATTTTGGTCTTATATCCAAGTCTGTAATCAAACTTTAGTTGGTTTTTGTGCATGGTGTGAGAGAGTAGTTTCATTTTTCCGTATGTGACTGTCCAGTCTTCCCAGCACCATTTTTTGAAGAGACTTTCCTTTCTCCATTGCATACAATTGGCTCCTTTATTGTAGATCAATGGTCCATGTCAGTGTGGGTTTATTTTGGGGCTCTCAATTCTCTTCCATTGGTCTTTGTGTCTGTTTGATTTTTATGGACTTGCAGTCTGGAAGTGTGACACCTCTGTTCTCCTTTTTGTAAAAATTACTTCAGCCATTCAGGGTCTTTTGTGGTTCCATATAAATTTCAGTAATATTTCATGTATTTCTTTAAAGAAGTCGGATAGAATTTTGATAGGGATTGCACTGAGCCTGTAAATTTCTTTGGGTAAGATGGACGTATTCACTGTGTTAATTCTTCCCATCCACAAGCATGGACTATCTTTCCATTTCATCGTGTCTTCTATTTCTTTTAGCAATGGCTTGTAATTTTCATTGAATAGATCTTTCACCTCATTTGTTCACTTTTTTCATAGGTACTTAATACTTTTTGATGCTAATGTAAATGGTGTTGTTTTCTTGATTTGTTATCTTCTAGTTTATTCACACATAGGAGTGTAACAGCCTTTTGTATATTGATTTTGTGGTCTGCCACTTTACTGTGTTGATTTATTGTTTCTAATACTTTTTTAGTAGGGGCTAACAGGTTTTCTGTAGCTCTGTAGTAATATCATCTTGAAGTAGTCATGTTTTTACTACTTTTCCAATTTGGATTCCTTTTCTATGGCTCTTGCCTAATTGCTCCAGCTCATCTGTCTGATACTATATTGAACGGTAGTGGTGAGATAAATCATCACTGGCATGTACCTGATCTTACATGAAAAGCTTTAGGAGCTTCTCACCATTGAGTATGATGCTAGCTGTCGGTTTATCATATATGGTCTTTATTATATTCCTTCTAATCCTGTTTCACTAAGTACATATCATAAGTAGGTACAAAATCTTGTCAAATGCCTTCTCTGCATCTGTTAATATGATCATATGATTTTTATCTTTCCTTTAATGACATTGATGGATGTATGTTGAACCATCCTCATATTCTAGGAATAAATTCTATTCCACTTAGCCATGATGTATGATCCTCTTGATATTTTGTTGAATTTGGCTTGCTAAGATTTTGTTGAGGACCTCTGCATCTGTGTTCATTGGCCATCTCAGCCTGTGGTTTAGTCCTTTCATCCCTATGCTCATGCTGCTTGGGTGAAACGTGAGGTGTGGTCACTTGATGCAGTGAGATGGCTGCTGGGTTTAGGAGCTTCGTTTTGGTGGTATGTGCTGTCTGTTGGCATTTCTCTCAGCTGATCTCTATACACAGGTGCATGGGTATGCTGTTTGATGTTACGTTTTTTGGGCAACTGTTACAAAATTAATAAATGTTTATGAAATTGATAACAGCTATTGAGGCTTAATATGGCAGATATAAAATGTGGGTATCCGCTTTGGCCCACTGAATGTAGTCCCAATTCACTATGTGTAAATCTCACCACTTTATAATTAAGTTGCCGTCAAATCCAGTGACTAGTCCCTGGTTCTCTAGTCTGCCTTAATTGAACCTTCTGCCGTTTATGTCAATACCACTCATGATCTGAAAATTCCTGCTTTTTGTTTCTGTCACTGCCTCTCTGGTGATTTATTCTCTTTCCCCTGAATGCTTGTGTTTCTTCTCATAAATGTCATCCATCCATGTGTTCAGTTCTGTGCCCCGTTCTTCATACTTCAGTTCTCTCTGAGTCAGCCCCTGTGATTTGACTGTCCCTACTGTTTCCATCCAGCTTGGACCTCTTCCCCGGGGTTTACAGCATTGATTAAATCCTTCTTGAATTTTTTTTTTTTTGTAGCTGACCACAGCACTTCAAATCCCCTTTTTTTTGAAGCTCACCACAGCACTTCAAATCCCCTTTTGTGGATCTGCCTGATCTGCTCCCCACTCTGTCTCTGGTGAATCTTCTCACCCCTGTAACGCTGGCCTATTCCCCAGCACTTGTGTGCATAAATAAATAAATGTTTAAAAAAATCATAATTTGTTATACCCAATACTTGGAAAACCATAGTGAATCACAATTACCAGGCTATAAAAGTAATATATACAAGTCCTCCATACATGAAAACACTCAGCCATGGGATACTGGCTGTGTTATAGCAATGGTAGATCTAGTTTCTGAGTCTTGCATGCACAAGGAGTCGCCAGAGTTAGGGCCTAGAGTGCTGGCACTTGCAGAACATCAGTAGTGTGCCAGCCCCTGTCACCTAGGGACAATGTGTGACGTGCAGGCCTGCATCAAGCAGGGCATTCACCCCTCAGACAGCCAAGTATTACCCAGTTCCATTCCTCCTCCCCCACTGCCCACTGTGTTAGGGTTAGTGCTGTGTTCTATATGCGTACAAGTCTGCTACCACAGTATACGTAATGCTGTCCCTCTGCTTTGTTCTCTGACTTTCCCTTATGCATTTTCCCATTCTCCTGTTAGGGGATGACTGTTAAACTGAAAATTCCACCATGTAACTTACATACTTTTTTTTAGATTTTTATTTATTTATGCATAGAGAACTAGAGTGTAGGCCAGAGATGTGGGGGGGTGAGCGGATTCATCAGAGATAAGAGTGGGGAGCAGAACAGGCAGATTCCCTGCAATACACTACTGAGGGGAGCAGTGGTCGAGACAGGAGAGGTCTGCTGTGCCATGTGGGTCAATTCCATGCCTGGGAATTGAACTCAAGCCACAGTAGCTGGTGATAGCTTGAAAGCACTGAGACTTTAACCCCTGCGCCACCAGGGAGGGCCTGTAATTTACCTATTTGTATTCCCTTGTTATTTACACCCTGTGATTTAGGAAAGTGTTTTGCTCACTTGGGAGTGAAAATAAGCCTTTAGGTAATTAGGATGTATGCAAACTTTAAATAGGTTATTAGAGACATGGTGATCACCTAAGACTTTTATTGACAGAATCAGGTTGTATCTGGAAATGCAAACTAACTTCATATTCAGTCTTTCTCCTATCTCACCTCACAAGCTAGGAGCACTTTAATTTGCTAACTGCTCTTTATTTCCTCACATCTTGATTTCTGCTACTACCTCATATTCATGAGAACATGTAGTTTATGAAATTGCTAAACATCTTTGGATGTTCAGTGAAGTACAACCTGATAACAGATAGTGCTGTTTCCCGCCCCTCCCCACTCCTTTTTTAACACCAGGCTACACTAAACTTGTTTTTCTCATAGTTGCTTTAGAACATTATTCCAGATGTATGTCTAGGCTTAAGTCAGCAATCTAGATTATAAGCTTCTTTGAGGACTAGGTTTTTATTCATTCTTTCATCCTTAGCATGAAGGACATTTCCAGATTCATAAGGAAATCTAAAAAGTACTTCTAAGAACTAATGAGTTAAGACAAGTGGGGTAATTCTACTGTGGAATCACTTTTGTACTATATAGAGTACCAGTGATGGCTGCTTCCTACACAAGATAAAAACATAAAAAAATGAGCTCCCAGTCATGTCCTATGCTTCTTACATAGGCTGATGCCTTGAATTGAGAAATGTTCATTGCAGAAGATGTTGTCATTTGAGGATGTGGCTGTGGTTTTCACCTGGGTGGAGTGGCAGGACCTAGATGATGCTCAGTGGACTCTCTACAGGGATGTGATGCTGAAGACCTACAACAGCCTGTTGTCCACGCGTAAGTGAAACTGCCCTGTAATAAACAAGTGAAAGCACTGTTTTATCTTCATTGATAAATGTACAGCTGTTTATAAAATTAATGTTATTTAGTTCAAGATGGCAAACCTGGAAGGTAAGGGTGTTCACCCCTGTCTGAGAGCCACACCAGCCTTTCATTGCTCAGCTCTTAAAGCTGTGCAGTTGTTGTCTTCAAAGACTGAGACAAAAGCAGTTCTGTCTAAAGTCAACATTTTCTCTTTTCAACAGGTTTTGTGTTAGCAAACCTGAATTCATCATCAGATTGGAGCAGGGAGCAGAGCCATGGACTGTCAAGGAACCCTCAAACCAGAGCCTCTTAGGTCAGTCACTGCATACTAGGAAGGGAGGCTGGGAGGAGGAGAGCCCAGGACTTCTAGGCCCTAATGAGCTATTTTTCCCCATAGCCAGACCTTAGAATGGTTGGTCTCTGTGTATGTAATTCATTTATTATTTGCTCTCCAAATATGGCTCCCTAATTAAACTTCCCCTACTTTTATAATGGTTGTAAATATCCTTCGAGTAATTGGTGTGCAATCGCTAACTACCTTCCCCTAGAAATGTTTTTTTGGTTTATCAATCTCTGGAGTCTCAGTTTTACTCCATTCTTAGGGACTGTCCTTTTAGGCATTTACTCATACATTGGTTTATTCTTTCAACATGTTTAATGGTAAGTTGTGTGGATAACAACAGTAATCAAAGGATTGTGTCCGCCCCCCTCCCTTTTTTTTTTAAAGATTTATTTATTTATATAAGCACTGGGTACAGTCAGAAGCGTGGGAGGGTGAGAGGATTCACCAGAGCCAGAGCAGGGAGCAGAACAGGCAGAAAGACCAGAGCACACTGCTGAGGGGAGCAGCGGGCGGCAGGAGAGGTCTGTGTGCCATGTGGGACCCTCACCCAGTGGCCGGGGATCGATCCGGCGCTGCAGAGGCTGTGGGCAGTGTCACAGCCCAGCGCTCAACCGCTGCGCCACCAGGGAGGCCCTCGCCCACCTTTTTTAATGGAGTTTATTTTCTGTGAGAAAGGGAGAGGAAGCAAATACACATTAATTAGATAAATGCCACAGTATGGCCAGGGTGAGTGAAAACGGACAGTATTATTTTAGTATGTGGGTTCAGAAGGGACTTTCGCAGAGACTGTTTACATTGCAGTGTATAAGGTTGAGATGTCTTGCATGTGCAATCTGGAGTAGAGGTTGGATATCACTATTGGTGGTGCATATTAGGAATTTGTTAACTCAAATCTTGTCGGTTCCAAAGCCACTGAACCAAGAATTTCAGGTTGTGGGAACAGGGGCCTTGGAATCAGGGACTGAAGTTGTGCCCTGATATTGAACGGGTTGCCTGGCTGTGGGTCCTCACCCAGCATGCTTACAAGGGACTTATTAATACTCCACTACAGGCATACATAAAAGGTTAATAACAGTTTTATTTACAAGGGAAAAGGAAATAAGGAAAATGTATAACTCAGGGAGAAAATAGGGAAATATAGTCTTTAATGCGTCCTACCCGATCCGCCGACCTGAAAAACCAAAAAGCACTCTCCAAGCTGGCCTGATGCTGCGAGCTGGCGAAGAGTCAAAATGGGGGACCCCTCCAAAGCCCACGTGTCTGGCTTTATACCAACCTGACTTCTTAACCCCATCCTCAGGTCCCAACCACTTTCCCTTTGGTGGTGATGGGATTTGGAGTTCCCAGTGTCTTTGGCTTTAGCCTGGGGTGGAGGTGGAGTCCACAAAGCCTGTATGGAATTAGCTTTAGGACATCCTTTTCCCCCTAACAATGTCACCTTCTTTTTTGGAAATAGTTGGGAGAAAAACGAAAACCAAGAAAAGAAACAATGGACTCCGATTTAAGTTTAACTAGGATGCAGTGAAATTGTAAAATATAAGCTAAAATCTTCAGATGCAGTGAATTTCAACTAGGAACATGTGCTGAGAAGTGGAGTTAAGAATACTAGGAATCTCAGTATCAGAGGAATGTGGGAAAAGTTTTTTTCAAAGATGTTGAGTATACCCTTCAGTTGCAAAACCTAAATGCTTTAGATCATCAGGGAAGGGTTGCACAAAGTGATGAGCCGGTTTTCTGTACCTACTATGGTTCTGAGAAGCCACTGGTGTATGGTTTAGTTAGGGTTTCACAGACAATTGAATGTGTCTTAGAGAAGGAAGAGGATATGCCTTTGAGAAAACCCCCAGATGCCTGTACATGTTCCCTAAAGAGAAATAAACACTAAGCAAATGTAGATGCAAAGTCTTTGTCCTGGAGCCAAAGTCCTGCTTAAGTGACAGAAATGGCTCTCCTTAAGCCTAGTAAGTAGCTGATCAGGATGATCATGCCATTTACAAAGTATGTTCTGATTGTTCTGAAAAGACCTGCTCAAGATGCACAGTTACAAGAGAAAATATAGAGAAGGAATAGGATAAATAAATGCTAGGTGGAAAGCTCTCAGTCAGAATCTCTACCTACAGTGTAAGTCAGTATGTTGACCAAGTATACCCTTATGAATTTAAAAAGTAAGATACTAAATCAATGTTTTTCATACCTTTTCCATCAATGTGTTTGACATTAGAAAATCTATTAATGTAATTTCATACCTTCATTTATTATGTAAAGGAATCATTTGCATCATAATATTAATGCCTTTTTTTGGAATTAAAAATCTTGTCCTCGTGTGGGAAGAAACTCCTTTACCTTTATATCAGAAATGCTTAGATGCCTAGATGTTGTCTATGGAATGGTTATTTTTATCTCATTTTAGATGTCCATACTATGGATGACCTGATTAAGACCAACCAGGAAAACCAGGGCAGGCATTTGTGGCAAGTTCTAATCGCCAATTGCAAAACATCAAGTAAGGAAATAATTGACTTAGGAAAAACACTTAATTTGCATCCAATGTATAATTGAATTTGAGTATAAATAATGGCATTCATTCAGGAATGATGCCTGTAGAGTTTCATACTTGGAAGAACATGTTCTTCCCTGGTGAGCCTGATGAGATGCATGCAATAGAGAAAATTGAGAGGCCTAGTGTAACTAGAAAATGCCCTGGATATCCCGAGTATCCTAGTCTTCATGGTATGATTCAGACTTTGCAGCAACCTTTGGAATTTAGTGGAGAAGGGAGAGACGTCAACAAAGAAACAATATTTTTTTTAACCCATAGAAGGGATTTGATGGGAGAGAATGCCTGTCAATGTAAGTGTAGGAAAGGCTGTTATATGTCACCTCTCATTGCCCAAGGTAGAGCTCAGGTAGGGCAGATAAACTATGCATGTAATGGATGGGAAACATCCTTTTTTGAGAAACCAACACATTTGAATCTTCATAAAGATTTTGAACACTACAAATGTAATCAAAGTGGGGATTATTTTGGAACCAAATTAAACCTTACTCAGCTTCAGGAAGTACCACGTGAGAAAGTTTTTGACTATAATACATGTGGGAAAACCTTTTATAAATTTTCTTTCCTTACTCAACATGAGAAAATAAAGCAGCTGATAAACCTTATGAATTAGGGAAAATATCCGATAATTCAACCCTCAAAATATGTCAGAGAACTTGGACTGGAGAGACACCCTTAGTGTCTAAGCAATGTCAGAGAACTTATTTCTGGAAGTCAGGTCTTACTGAACATCAGCAGTCTCAAACCATGGAGATGACTTATGAATGTAAAAATTGTAGGAAAGCTTTCTGTCAGAAGTCAGCTCTTATTGTACATCAAAGAACTCACACAGGAGAGAAATCTTGTGAATGCAGGCAGTGTATGAAATCTTTTCACCAGAAATCAGTCCTCAGTAAACATCAGAAAACACACACAGGAGAGAAACCTTACAAATGTCATGAGTGTAGGAAAACTTTTTATTGGAATTCAGCCCTCACTATTCATCAGAGAATCCACACAGGAGAGAAACCTTATGAATGTATAGAATGTGGGAAAACATTCTGCCATAAGTCAGACCTTAATGTACATCTGAGAAATCATGCAGGAGAGAAACCCCATGAATGTCAAGAGTGGGAAATCTTTCTACTGGAAGTCAGCTCCCACTGTACATCAGAGAACACACACAGGAGAGAAACCCTATGAATGTCAAGAATGTAGGAAGATTTTCTCCTGGAAATCAACTCTCACTGTACACCAGATAACTCACACAGGAGAGAAGCCCTATGAATGCAAAGTTTGTAGAATGTCTTTCTACTGGAAGTCTGCTCTCACTGTACACCAGAGAACTCACACAGGAAAGAAACCTTATGAATGTCAAGAGTGTAGGAAAACGTTTTATCGGAAGTCAGCCCTCACTGTACACCAGAGAACTCACACAGGAGAAAAGCCTTATGAATGTAAAGAATGTAGGAAAACTTTCTCCCATAAGTCAGACCTCAATGTACATCAGAGAACTCACACAGTAGAGAAATCTTTTGAATGAAAACAGTGTGAGAAATTTTTTAATCAAAAGTTGGCCCTTACTAAACATCATAGTACTCACAGAGAGGGGATACCGTACGACAGTCAAGAGTATAGGAGAGGGCATCCCCGGTGGCGCAGCGGTTGAGCGCTGGGTTGCGAAGCCGCTCTCAGCCTCTGCAGCACCGGTTCAATCCCCGGCTGCTCCCCGGCCACCAGAGGAGTGTCCCACATGGCGCACAGACCTCTCCTGCTGCACGCTGCTCCCCTCAGCAGTGTACTTCGGTCCTTCTCCCTGCTCTGCTCACCACTCTGGCTCTGGTGAATTCTCTCACCCTCCCGCGCTTCTGACTATACCCAGTGCTTGTTTAAATAAATAAAAAATAAATCTTAAAAAAAAAAATGAGTATAGGAGAACTTTCAATCCTAAGTCAGACCTCACTGCACATCAGAGAACACACACAGGAGGGAAGCCCTATGAGTGTCCAGCGTGTATGAAAACTTTCTCCGGAAAATCACACCTCAGTGTACTTCAGAGAACACACACAGGGGAGAAACCCTATGAATGTCAAGACTGTCAGAAATATTTTTACTGTAAGTCAACCCTCACTGTCCATCAGAGGGCCCATGCAGGAGAGAAGCCCTATGAATGTCAACAGTGCAGAAAAACTTTCTTCGAGAAGTCACACCTTACCGTACATCAGAGAACCCACACAGGAGAGAAACCCTATGAATGTCAAGAGTGTAGGAAAACCTTTTCCCAGAAGTCAGCCCTCACTGTCCATAGGAGGGCCCATGCAGCAGTGAACTAAGTAATGTAAGAATACCCCACTGTACACAGGAGAACACACAGAGGAGAGGAGCACTGTGATCATAAGGACTGTAGGAAAACATCCTCCAGGAAGTCCACCTTCACCCTACAAATATTAAATAATGTGGGAAAATTCTGTTGTTATCCACCTTCCCAAATAAAGAATTCACATGGGAGTGTAATATGTTTACAAGAGAACACTATTTTCTGTGGGGCTAAGAACCTTCATTTCTCTGTCTCCCTTTACTTGAGCTTTTTGCAGAGTGAGAAAACTATCTCTAGTCTGGTCCAAAAATGGAGCTGTGTGCATTCTTGCCATATCTTCCATGTCCTATGGTCCTGCTGTACACATGATGCCTCCCCAGACCCAGCAGTGTTAGCCTTGGGAGCCTTAGGGTGAATATGGCAATGTGTGATTTAAGACAAATGATCGTGGGAGAGCAGTTTTCAAAACTCTACGTCTACAATCTCCATTTGGTACGCCTTCCAGCTCCGTTCTAAAAACAAAGGGCGACCTACTACACCTCCCCCTACAGTGACCTTTAGGGCTAATGGCTTTGCCAAGGTCCCTAGTTCCGGCTGGACAAGAAACCAACGTGCAGGAGTGTACAACAAAGTTCCCTAAAATAAGACAAACACCTATCAAAAAATAGCGACCACCAAAAGCCACCACAAAAATGCTGACCAAAAGGAGCCTTATCTCGTCTCCTCAGACCTACAAACTTTATCCCTTCACTCTCTTTCTAAAACTTCTTCCTTCTCTTCTATAAAGGTCATTAATTACTAAATTAAAAAAAACATATAAAATCTAGTAACAAAAATAACTCAAATAAAACACCACTAAACCTTGTGTAACAACAAAATTGTTAGTTCAATACTTGCTCTGTTATATGTTAAAATTCCTTAGCTTTAATCCTTAATGAAAAAATGTTATTACATAAAAAAATAATAAGTCAACCTTCTATAATTAATGATAATTAAGAAATTTAGTGGTTAACTAAAAAAAAATATATAAAACAAAAAACAAAACTAATGCTCTGACTACTTAAAAATGTGCCTAAATCCAAATATAACTCAAGACATAAATCACTGCCTTCTCAATAATAAATTAAACCTATGAGCCAACTGGTTTAGTTCACTGATAACCAATCCTATGCCTTTAAAAAAACATATATATACTGGCCACTAACTTAAATAAAATTACACTCAAATTTTCACTCTCTTAAAGTGTGTCTGTTTGTCATTTCTTTCACCAAATCCCTAACCACCCTGCACAGTCTCTCAACCCTAAAACAGCCTCATCATTCACTGCTGTGCTGGTCCACGACAATTTGTACTTCTCTTGCCTGAGAAATATTTCAACTGTTGAAACTGTTAGTGTGTGGTCTGTTACAATGTTAACATTGTTATGTTTGCTTTTTGTAAAACAAACAAACAGCAAAGAAGCCATGCTGTCACCTTTCATTGTTAAATCAGTTGTGGGCAAATTCAAAGCAGTAGTAAGAAACAATGCATCAAATAAAGGAATGACTTTATCATATCGCCACAGCTCGTTGAACACTGATAATATGCTAAAACTTTAGAAATACTTTCAATGTATTTAGAAACATACCACTGGTCTGTACCCCGGTTCTTGTATGTATAAATAAATCTTTAAAAAATAAAAAAAAAAAAAATTAAAGTTGCCTCATGAGGCAGTTTCCAGGTGTGAAAGCCCCTTCCAGTTTCTTAATGGCCACCTCTGCTGCGCGACAGGAAAGTGACACCTCAGCCCTCAGACGTGGGCTCAGGCTCGGCAGGGGCAGCACCCCAGACCCCGAGAGAAAAGCAGAGCCCAGGCCCACGCAACCCCCTGGTCAGAGCCTACACCTGGGAGACTGGACGCGGCTCAGCCTCCTGCCTGCTGGACCTGGGGCGGGCGGGGATGGGCCCCGGGAAAGCGAAAGCCCGTTCCCCAAATTTCACTGTAGCCCGCGGGATGGGAACGCACAGGCCAGCGGGGTGGGAGGCCCAGGACCGGCCGGGGCACCCTCGCAGGTCACAGTCAGGACAAACGCCTCGCCTGCTGTCAGCTGCACACACCTGTCCCTGCTCATGATGATGTCATAGTGCAGGGGGTGGCAGATGGCAGCATAGCGGTCAAGGCTCATCACTGTGAGCAGGTGCATCTCTGTACCTGCTGACATAACCATCATGAAGACCTGGATATGGAGCCCGGGAATCCCGCAAAGGAGATGGAGCTGCTGTGCCTCAGAGAGTTGGCAATGGACTTGGGGACCGTGATTGTGATGAGGCAGAGGTCTGTGAGTGACAGACTCCTCAGGAAGAAGTACATGGGGGTGTTGAGGTGCCGGTCCAGGGTGGTGATGAGGACGATGAGCCCGTTCCCCAGCAGGGCACACAGGTAGACCAGGGAGAAGAGCAGCGGGTGCAAGAATCCCATGGTCCCCTGGGTGGGGAACACCAGGAGCATGAATTCTGTCATGGCCGTGAGATTGGTCACCCCTGGAGCCATCACTGCATGAAAGTCTAGAGGAATAAAACGCCAGGACCATCCGCCAGTGCGTGACTTACCTCTGCTCATATGGCAGGTGACAAGTGCTGTCCTTCCCTACTGACCTCTCTCATTGCCCTG